GTCCCACCTGCTTTCTTCTGGATACAACTTCTTAACAGGAGCCCCTTGTTTCTCCTGTCTCTGTGTGATATTACAAGGCATCCAGCTAGCTTTCTTTTTATATTGCATAGTTTGCACCTCCTGGTTATTTCTGCCACCACGACCCATTCCTGAGCAGTAAGAACTTCCCTTCCGCCTGGGTTCCTGCTTTTGCAAGTTGTCTGAGTAATGACAACCTCAGGTTACCCCCGGACTACCATTCGACTGGTTGCCTGCACATATACTGCTGGTGTCTGATATGTTCAATAAATCTCTCTAACAAGAGCTATATTTAGAATGTAGCCTATAACTAACCTTCCTTCTGATCCCACCTGTGACATCCAGTGACTGGCGCTTGGACGACTTGAGTGCACACTTCAGACTTGATGGATTACTTGTCTTATCACCTTGACTGAGATTGTATCAACATTGACCACCTGCTGCTAGAGAAGAACTTCTGGGACATTAGCTTGTATTCAGATGAAATTCAAACTGCTGCATTTATGCACAGTTCTTGGCCAACTGATGCATGCTGAGTGCATAAGAATAGGTTTGGGGGCTGTCCTTCACTTCTGTTTCCAGAGTTTGAGAGAGCTATGCTACCATCCCGTGCCCAACTGGCCTGTAGGTCAAGTCCCATTGAACATAATGGGGCTTATTTTTGAATAAACATGTATAGGCGTGCACTCCTAGAGCAGGTTAGCTTATGCATCCACTATTCTGTGTCAGAAGTGACTACCCATGTAATTTGTTTGAGGATAATTCCTTAAGCAGAATAAAATAATCCTTCAGGATAAATGGAGAAAGTTCTCAGTCTTTTAATTCAGTGATGTAGGGCTCACATGATTGCAAATGGAAACCTGGATTCTTTTACCCAGGCCTTGCTTTCCCTGTTCAAGAAATTGAATCGTAATGGTTGATCAGAAAAGGCAACATCATGGCTCTTCTTAAACTGAATCAGACCTTAGGGAGATGTTTGTTGAAGGCAGGTGCTGCCCTAGATTTAGCCTGTCCACTTCAGAGTTCATGAAGGATGAGTGAGGAGTTGACTGGGCTCAGATTTGAAGCCAGAAGCTAGGCAGTTTAATGTTGCCTTTTGGGCCCAACAGTTTAAGGAATAATAGTCATTTCTAGGAGAAGGCCAACAAAAATTACTTGTGGTCTCATAAAAGAAGCAGGTGCAACAACTGGGACTGTTTAGCTTCAAGAAAAGGCAAGCAGGGAAAACATGATAAAGGCATTTAAAGTAAAGCATGGTATGGAGAAAACAGAGAGGGAGACATTTTTCTTCCTCTCCCATAACTCTTGAATCACTTCATCCCATGAAGCCGACGGGTGGGAGGTTTAGGACAGATAAAAGGAAGTACTTCTTAACACAGTGCATAGTTAAACTACGGAATTTGCTGCCACAGGAAGTGGTGATGGCCGCCTATTCGAGCAGCTTTAAAGGGGATTGGGTGGGTTCAAGGAGGAGACTATCAGTGGCTACTAGCCCTACTGCCTGTGTGCTCCCTCCTTCACCAGAGGCGGCCTGCCTGCACACACCAGTTGCTGAGGAGCTGGGCAGGCGGGGCTCTTGCACTCATCCTGCTTGAGGGACCCTGTGGGCAGCTGGTTTGCCACCCTGTGTACGGAGTGCTGGACTGGATGGACCTTTGGTCTGATCCAGCACGGCTTTGCTTATGTTCTAATGACCCATGTCTGCAGCTGCCCCACCTGCTTGCTGCCTAAGCTCATTCCAATGGCATTGACAGTAAATGTTTACTTGATTTAGCAACTGATGTGACATCCCTGCAATAAACAAAATTAACTTTTAAAATTTCCCAAGAACACTGTGTTCTACTTCAGTTCAAGTTTCCAGATGAATGCATTAAAACTTGAAGAAGATACATGAAGAAAAGTCTTGTTAGACCATAATCAGTAAGCTACTTAAACATGTTCCGAGTTAAGATTACAGTGAAATTTGTATCTCCAAGTGCAGGTAAACTTATGACATGCAGTTTACATTCTTTATGACTGGTCAAAGGTTTTTGAGAAGGTAAAAGCATAGTGAATTGGCTAAACTATGCCTCAGTGCAAATAAATGCATCAAATATATGATGTTATGCCTGCATTAAATATAGCATTGAAGCCAGATCAAGCAAAGAAAATGCTAAGTATAATAGTAAAAATGCATAAGATAAATTGTTCATGCTTAAATAGCATATCTGAGTGATTCAAATAATATACAGCAGGAACTTGGTAAATCTGCATCTCTAAGATTTTATGTTTGGCATGATATATCATCCAACAGCCAAAGTGATAGATAAAATTATAATGGTATATCACTAGAAGTATATAGCAGCATTAATTTAAGCATGTTTTCTCATGGTCGTAGACCATAGTTGTAGACTATGAGGCTTTGTTGTGATGGGGGCGGCATAAAAATGTTATAAACAAACAAACAAACAAACAAACCAGTTGAGAAGCACTTCCATTTATCAGTTTTTCTCACCTTCTCTGCATTTTGCACTTGTTAACCTCTCACTCAATCTTCATAGATTGACTTTATCAAGGGAGCTGAGCAAGGCTGTCCCATTCATAGGATCACTCTTAAGACAGAGATAACTCCACAGCACATAACAACAAGAATAGCTTGGCTTGTTTGCAGCACAGTCCATTAACAAAAACATCTTAAGTAATGTTTGTTTTGCTGAATTGGTATAATTGTGTTTGGTGATCAGAATTAAGTAATGCAGATACAGCCAATCAGTGCATGCAATTTAAGGCAATTTCCATCAAAGAAATTAACAGCCTGTATTGTGGGTACATGCACATAATTTAATACTTTCTTGGTTTTGAGTTTTTACCCCATTCAACTTGCTTAGAAATTATAACTTTGCATAAATATAGGTTCTTTGTAAAGTGATCTTTAGCAGATTATATTCTATAATTTGCCCTAAGTACTTTCTGCCAAATCTAGCAGGAGTACTGTAACTGCTACAAGATGTAAAGTGTTTCTTCAACACTTCCCAAAAATAATCCTGTGAAGTTGATTCGTAGGGGAGATTATGATTTCTCTTTGCCCGTGTGACTCAGCAAGGGCTTGTCTGCAACCATGCCAACTCCCATGTAAAGTGGGAACCAGGTCCACAGTCCAAGCTGTGATGCCAAGCAGTTGGAAATTGAATATTTATACTTGTCTAGTACATGCCCATATATTGAGGCCTGTCAGATGTTTACCAAGCATGCATTAGCCCCAAACTCTGGGCATTTCCAGAGAGACCCTGAGAATAGGGTCAGGCCCCGGTGAGTGCCGTGTGGCCTGTGTTAAGTGCAATTCGTCACTGGTTGGGAGGCCTCCCCTTAAGTGGTTGCGCTAATCTAGTCACAGCTGCACTTCCAGGATTCGTTGCATTACTGAAGTCAGTGTGCCAGGACTTTCTTTAAAATGAGGATTCCTCTCTGAATACTAGTGGAGAACTCTGTTGCTGTGATGTTCACATTGGAGTCGCTTTTCTTCCTGGAGCTACTGATCATTTTTTCCAGGCAGAACATTAAGAAAGTTTTGATCTAAATATAGCCTTGGGCTGACCAGCAGTGACTCAGATGCTACAAACAGCAAGTAGATCCGACTTGTTTTTAGTATACCACACTGGAGTTGGTGTGAGCAACAGGAGCAGGTGTGTGACTAACTTGATGCTGATGTGGAAGAAAGATGGGTATCCTGCTCTTTAAATCCTGCCGTTATATCAATTTACAGGAAGCCTAAAACTTGAAAGAGTTCGTGGTTGGCTGACAGCAGTAAATGAAATGGTTTATGTGATACCAAAGCAGCATGGTTTTTAGAAACATTCGACAAGGGTTCCTCCATAAATGGGGTGCTTCAAGCAGGGGGGCCTCCATCCCCAGGCTCAGCTGACAGCCCAGATCCAGGCAAAGTCACAGCGGAGTGGTACACAAAGCAAAAGTCACTGTGAGCCCAGCACTTCGTTGCATTGTGGGCCGGTGCCATGTGCTTTGCGCATGTGATGAGCATGTAAGAACTCTCCCATCAAGTCAATCTATCTGGAAACCACACTGCATCTGAATGCTCAGGATTAAATAGATCACAGATGAGCCCTTTCTTCAGTGTCACACCTGCCTGCTTGGCTTCAGCTCTTCAGCTGTTACAGTGCAGTTGAGCCAGATACTTCCCTTGGGTGCCCCTCCCACCCCTTTGCTTTTGCCACTGCCTGACCGTGTGGAGCCAGCTGGTGAGAATAAAGTCCTTAGCCATTTTCATAGCTCCATCCAAAGCAATTTGTAGCAGCCCCCTGGAGCTAAGCAACACTGCTCAGTGCAGGACAGAGGACTGTCTGGGGATCCTTTGTGTACCATATTTTGCTCTCTAGGAAAAAAAAAGAGCATATCAATGTACTAAATCAATAAAATCTCTAATTTGTATCTCACGATAAATTCGGCAGGGGGTTTTGTGTCTCCTAAATATTCCATAATATTATGGAAGTTTCACAATGGTTTCAACAGCTGTTCTAACTGACAGAGATGTATTAGCAGTGTTATGGCATCATCCAGTATTTTACAGCTAATAATTTAGCTGCTCCTAATAAGCAAACAACTCTTTTCACGTGACCCCTGATAGGTGAGGTAATGTTTGTATCTGAGGGGAGAGATGTTTACACTTACAAGCAAACATTGAGGGGTGCAATTGGGAGGGACTCTCATGGCCATAGAGTTCAAGTAATGATGACATACTCATTTCTACACCATCCCGTGGCTGAAGCTGTCTGGGTCCTTTGCTAGACGGATGACTGTGTTGACATTGGCATTATACTGATTACATGTAGCAGCTCATGCAAGTCAACTTGAGACCTTCACTCAAAAGAAAGCTGTTAAAAAGAAACTTAAGCTAGGAAGATATTTATCATCATTATTAGTGTATTGCACTGGACATCTGGCGGCTTTGCCACATGGTTTGCCATTCCCGTCTCGTGTCTTTACAGATTTCTGAATCCCCTGAGCATGCTCCTTGGTGCTACGGTGGTGATCCTGGTATTCACAGGATTCGTGTGGGTGTCGCGCAACAAGGACTTCATTCGCAAGTTTAAGAAGCGCTATCCTGCTGCGTTTGTCATAGCTATTATCCTGTTGAGTTACTTCCTGATATCTTTTTTTGGAGGTGTCATGGTGTTCATGTTTGGAATCACCTTTCCTCTGTTCTGTGAGTTTGCTGTTTGTTTATTTATTTATTCACCTATTTATAGTCCACCTATAATTGCCAAAAGGCCTTCCTTAGTGACTTTTTCTTGCATTCCGGAAATCTAAGAGTGGAATGAAAGTGTGCTCACTTTGAAGTAGCTTTCATTTCCTTTTATTTTAAAAAAATAAATGTTCCACTTAGTTAGAAGAATCTGTCATGGAACAAGTACAAGAATCCCTTGTACTTCTTAAATAACATGTAACATGGAGGGAATTCATTGTTCGGCCAGGATGGACCATGCCAGGCATTTCCTGTAGCCTGTTCTCACAGCAAGGAGTAAGTCTGATGCTCGGCTGAATGTGTGACTCCGCTGTGCACTGTGCTAGGATTGCGCTATTTGGGTTGATCTTGATGCCGGGCTGTAGGGTGCAGGAAGTGGATGGACGTGTTCACATCTACAATGTAGCTTTCAGATCTCAGGGCCTAGAAAATGCTAATTATGATGCTGCATAAGACAGTCCTGCTTTTTAGATATTTTTGTTTCCCTTGGTATGCAAAATAACATTACCCTAAAGATAGTGAATATTAGGAATTAACTTATACCTCTCTAGCTGTGCGTTACGATTCATCTGAGTTGCCATCATATGGTGATCAGAAGCTCTCAGTATTACTGGGCAGGTTTTGAACCTAGTTGAACTGCTGGCCTTCAGCCATCATGTTCTCCTGAATTCATTGTTATTATAAGATGACCACCCCAATTGGAAATGAATTGGATTCTTATCTGTGACTTAATATGGTGTTCTTTTCCCCAGTGATGTTCGTTCATGCTTCCTTGAGGCTTCGGAACATAAAGAACAAACTGGAGAACAAGATGGAAGTAATCGGCCTAAAGAAGACACCCATGGGTATTATCTTGGACCTCCTTGAACAACAAGAAGAAGGCATAAACAAACTGGCTGATTACTTGGTTAAAGCAAAGGAATAAATATGCATGCTTCTCTCTCTCTCTCTTTCTCTCTTTTAGTTTGAGGGATTGTTTGGGCTTGTCTAGCATCACTTTTCAGTCTGTGAGTCTAATGATACACAGACTGCAAGCTCTTCAATGCTACACAAGCTCTTCAATGTTTTTCTCGCCGGGACGGAGAGGTGATGATAACCATCCCATAACAAATTTAAGATGTCTGACATGCAGCTGCATTTGGTAGTTCATAGCACTCGCTTGTTTTCAGCAGCAAAAGATAGTTTGCAAGAAAGCTCTCCTTCTATTTGTCTATATGTTACTGTTTTTCACATACCTACTTTGTGGCAGTGCACTAAATGTAAGCAGTCCCTTACCTCCTATCTAACCAAGGGAATGCTACATGAAACCAAAACTAATATTAACTAGGGCTAAAGAACACCAATTGTACAGTATTTTGGAGTGTATCCAAATTTACTTGTTGTGTCTGTTTTCAAATAGAAAAGCAAAGAACCCTCCCAATTTAGTCACAGGACAGGTACATTTTGTTGTGACAAATCTGAATCATTCTTCTGTTTCCAAACTGGAACCCTTTCCTGTGCTAGAATTGCAAGTCTGCATAGATGAGATCTAGCAAACTAACATTCCTTCAATGCACCTATGCAGAATTACAGTAATGAGGAGGCAGATTGCATTACAAGAGAAACATGATTTTCTGTGCATGCCACATCCAACTTTTACAAAGCTTTAATATATATAGTAATACATTATAGCAGTAATGAACTCTGCCAGACTTGAGATCTGCTAGAATGAAGGGTCTTAAAGGATCTTTAGTCAAGATGGATATGTAATTTAAATAACAGAACTGGAAAACTGATTTTTTTTTTTTTTGCCGATATCTCATCTTGACTCCTACAGTAGGAGCTGTCCAAGGTTTATTTTCTGATGGCAAAGGGATAAACCCATTCTGGGAAATTTCTTATTATATATTTCAATAACCTTGAATCTCTGCCTGAATGCTTATTGAATATGAGTTCAGTGTGAGACAAATTTTACCTAGTCAACACTGCATATCACACACTCCTATCTTTCCCTTTCTTTGATGTCTTTCTGAGCAAAAATTTAGACTCCTATTTATTCAGCAAACTTCCACAGAAGGAAAACCCCTCATGATTTTTAGGACTGGTGTTAGCGTTGTAGCACCCTTTTGGCTTTTCCCTTTTGAGTTGAGACTTGTAACATCTCATTTTGTATATACATTGTAAAATGACCAGTATTTTGTTGAGAGTATGTCTCTACCTATGCATTCCAGGATTAAAGACAAGTAACCTGGTCTTGAGTTGTATGCTGCCTTATTTTAATTAAGTTGAAATACTTATTCCACAGTTTGCTTTAGTTTATGGTTTATGCATTCAGAAATTTCTTAAGGGAAACAAGCTGGCACAAGAATAAAGTTTTAAGTCCTTTTGTTAAATGTCACTTTTGCAATTCAAATTCCTTTAAATGACTAGTGGCCACAAGTGCAAAACACACTTTATAGTTTTTAGTTCAAGAAGTGCAATGTCTCCAAAACATATGGCTCTAAGACAGTTCCAAAACATTTTCTCTTATGGCTATTAGTGTTACTTAAAGTAATGAAAAGGATTGATTCAGAGCACACAGGATTGTGAAGAAAGGTCTGGCTATTAACATGTACAGAGTTCCTAAAAGAAGAGCCTCCACGCAAATAAATTGTGCTCAGATCAGTTTTACGATAGTGGATGCACAATTCATCTCAGGTGAAAGAGGACGAAAGAAGTATGAAGGCATATAAGATTTGTCTTGTGGAAGAACATGTGTAAAATTTGCAACACTTTCTAGATCGTTGCTGCAGGCCCGTAGTTGAGTATAATGAGCAATAGCTCACTCAGTCTTCAAAGGTATGAAAACGTCACATTGTCTTTCATACAAAAAGCCATTCTGTTCCTTGTTTAATGTAGCATTTTTAATTTCTTGGAACTTTATCAACACTAGAAACTAATTTTGCTACGGCTTTACCTGCCTGTTATATTGGAGTCAGATAATCTAATCTTGTAGCTACACCAACAGTAAAGCAAACAGTTTGGAAAACATCATGTTCTAGAAGTGTATGAAAACAAGAGATCTTCCTACACTTTAGATGCTTTGATTCTGAATGAAATCAATAAGATAATCCCTAACTGCACTGGTAAATAAATGGAAGCTACGGCTTCCAGGACTTGCAGAATTTATCTGGGAATTTCCCGTCATTACCTTAAACGTTTACTGTTGGCAGACTAGAAGTAAGTATGGCAGATTCCATTAGTATCAACAACCATGCAACAAGCAGGTAGCTGTATAAGGAGCCAGTATTTCCCTTTGCTCTGGCAGCGATTGCTGTGAGTACTTGGGAAGCATGAAACTTGAAGTCCCTTTGCCTAAATTACTAAAGGGATGCCATGTTTAGATATTCTTGCTAGTGTTGGAAATACCTGCTGTCAACACTATATACTGCAGCTGTTCAGAGCTGGTTGCAGCTGTAAGTACTTCTAACCTATGAGAAGAGGCACTTTATGCAATCCCCGCTTTAGTCTGAAGGCAGTTTCCTTCTGGCAATAGAATGCACATTAACAAGCCAGTGGATTTCTATAAATCTGGGCGTATTGAAGAACAGGTGGCCTCATAAAAGAAGTGGGCAACATAGAGAAATCCTGTTCTCTGTTTTGAGAAGGGTAACTGTGTTGTGTTGCTATCATAGAATAGAGTTGGAAGGGGCCAGAAGGCCATCAGGTCCAACCCCCTGAACAGTGAAGGACTCCACTGGACAGTATTCCTCATGGATGCTTCTTGAATGCTTCCAATGTGAGAGAGTGCATAACCTCCCCAGGTAATTGGTTCTATTGTCAGATTGCTCTTACAGGAAGCTTTTCCTGATAATCAGCTGGAATCTGGCATCCTGCACCCTGACCCTGTTATTCCATGTCCTGCACCCTGGGATGATCAGGAAGAGATCCTGACCTTCCTCTGGGTGATAGCCTTTCAAGCACATGAAGAGCGCTATCGTATCTCCTCTCATGCCCACTTCTTCCCATCTCTCCTCACTGGGCTTTTAGTTCACTTTGATGCCCTCCTCTGAACCTTTTCCAGCTTGTTTGCATCTTTCTTAAACTATAGTGCCCAAAATTCATACCGTTCCCAAGAGGAAGCCTCATTAGTGTTGAGTAGAAAGGAGCTAGTGTTTCATAGGATTTGGAAGTGCTACCTCTATTAATTCAACCCAAAATAACATTTGCCCTTTTTTGGCAACATTGCACTTTGGGTCATATTCAGATTGTGATTTACAACACCAGAAGTTGTAGCTGCGGGAAGCCACTTTGGCACCTGAGCTGTTTAACTCAGGCTCAAGTGAGCTGTCTCTAATCTGGTAGGGTACTTGACTCCCAAATGATAGCTGTATCACTGTTCCTGATTGTTGCTGCTGCTGTTGTTGTGAAGTCACGTCTGACCCATCATGACCCCATGGACAACATTCCTCCAGGCCTTCCTGTCCTCCCCCATCTCCCGGAGTCCACTTAAGCTCACGCCGACTGCTTCCATGACTCCATCTAGCCACCTCATCCTCTGCCGTCCCCTTCTTTTGCCGTCAGTTGTTCCCAGCATTATCTCCTCTTTTCTGCAAATGTTTGTCAAATTCTTCATTTAACTCAGTCTCTCTGACTCACTTCTGGCCATTTTTTCTCTGCCTTTCTTGTCTTCGCTACCGACCCTTGATTTCTCTAGCTTATTCACTGACCAGACTCCCTGGTAGCTGGAGCTAATGAAATAGTCTTATGATTCCTCCTATATGGCCAAGGAATGCTTCAGAATCTGAAACCATCTGTAACCACAGCAAGCTTGACTGGATTGTGATGAATGTAACAGTGTTAAGATTTACAGTAATGAACAAATAGTATCTTTTTTTTAAAAAAACACAAAACTTCATTCTTTCGTGGGTCAAAGGGATATCAAGGGCTTTGAGAGCTTATTGTACCAGGACGCAACTGCTCCATTGGGCTCGATGTCTGATTAGTGATATCATTAGTTCATTGGTGGCAACATAAGCAAGGCACCTGTGTAGTTGGTGTGACTACAACCAGTAAGATCTGGGTTCAAATCCCCAGTGTGCTGAGAAACTCATCAGGTGTCCTTGGCCAGTCACTTTCTCGTAGCCTAACCTGCCTCACAGACTTGTGAGGCTAAAATAGAAATGAGAAGAAAGCCATGAATTGTGCCTTGAGCTCCTTGGGGCAAGCGTGGGACAGAAATGTAGCGACATACCAAAAAAGGGAAACCTCCTGAGCAGCAAGTTTGCAGTGCCTCTAACATGGCTGTCCCCAACCTGGTGTTTCCCAGATGTTTTGGATTCCATGTCTCAGCATGCTTGGTTTTACTAGCTGAGGCTGATGGGGAAGCATGCTCTGTAGCATGTTGCCTGCGATAAAGTGAGCACAAGTGGAAAGAAATGTCCTGAGAAAATAAGGCTTCTCAAGGCTGGGGTTCCTCCCTCGGTTTGTAAGAGAATGTGCACTTTTCAGCTGGGCATGTCCAAAGCCCCCCGAGTTCGGCATGAGAATACATGCGTGTGCAGGTCTGCATATGACATCCAGCGCTATGCACTGTGCATGGCAATGCAATGATGCAACACAGGTTAGGAGTCTGAACAATGTGGTTGTGCTTCTCAGCCTTGCACTGCAGCTCCCGGCCTGGCAGTAAGAGTGGTGGGGCTGGGCGCGGGCTGGAAGGAGAGACAGAGCTCGAAAAGTGCGGTTTAAGAAATGGAAGTGGCCTCTGAAAGAGACACCTGCACAGTGGTATGTACCAGCTAAATACTGGAGTGACGCACAACAGAAGCTCTCAGCTCCGTTGCTACCGGAAGTGCCAAGGATGTGATGAATGAGAATTTTGCATGTGGCTGAAAGTGTGATCTGAAACTAAACATACTGTCTGCTTTTCAATATCTATTGTATGAGCAACTGTTTAAAAACTTGAAGTAGCTAGGCTAATTAAGTGCATGGCCAGGGCAGCATTTTTAGAAGCTGCTAAATAATTGGGCAAGGATGGATTAGCACCTTTGTCTCCAGCGACTAATCTCCAATCTTCTGCCAGGAGCTGGCTTGGGTTTCCCCCTCCGCAGGGAGAGAGCACACACTTGGAGCTCAGCAGGGCCCCAGGCACCTGGAGTCAGCCACCCAGCAAAGGCCTTGGCATTGCTTAGCCCCAGCAACTCCAGTCAGTTAACAAACTGTCCCCAGGGAGATCTGAGACTATCCTGTTCTGCTCCCGGGAAGCCTTGATTGTAGGGAGTGAAGGAAAGGTTCAGGGGCACGCAAAACACATAGGCCTGCAAGCAGGTGACAGACACCTCCACATGTCTCAGGAGCATCCGGTTTTCAGATGTAGATGACGGAGAACAGAACAATAGTGGCTTGAATCTACTAAGCCCTTTGCTGCCCATCAGCACAGCTGTCTAGGATTGGTGCTGACAAGCTCATGGCCAGTCCAGTATAATTTTAGCTAACTATCAGGCAAAGCTAATTCTAGACATTCCTTGTACCTGTTGAGGCTTATCCTTCATATCCCCAGCCCTGCCTAAATCACGCTGGCAAGCCAGGACATGAGGTTCTCTTCCCAAGCGCAAAAGCTTTGCTGCGACCTGAAGGTCAGTTTTATGACAGGCATTCACCATGGCCTACACTCCACCAGGGGCTACTGTCCCCCTTCTTTATTGTCCGCAGCCCACTCCCTCTGGTGCACAGAAGGTGAGCATGCAAGCCGCAGTAATCCTGCAAGGGAGCTGAGTGCCAGCAGCTGTCCACCTTGCAAGTCAGTGTATGAATTGCAGTGACTGGGAGGAGCAGCTGGCGATTCGGTGGCGGTGGGAAAGAGGGGCCTCCCGCAGGGGAGCCCTGGCCAGGAGATCTAGGGGGGCACTGCTCCTGGACTCTCCGCAGCAGCTCCCTCTTCCATTCAGCTTTGGCCGCTAAGAGGAGACACAACCCACGCTCTTCTGAAAGTAGAGGTTTATTTCTGTCGTGGTATCCTTCCTCTAATAAAAACCATAGCAACTGTGGTTTGCCCCACACCCAAAGAGAAAGAAAGAGGGAAAAGGTGCTGAAGCTGGTAGGGATGCCACACAACTACAGGTGTGTCGATGAAGGAGGCAGGAAAGAACTCACAAAAGGATGCCAACTTAACAGAGAAGATGACACGCTTGGAGGAAGAGTTACTGAAGGAACCATAAAAGTGGTAACATCATTATGAAAGGGAAAGGCAGAGTATCTTTCTCCATCCCCCACCAAAAGAGAAATAAGAATCCAGCTGGATGACTGGGGCTGTAGGATGAAACCAGCTCATTACGGGAGAATGGATAAGAATTCTTAACCATTGAAATGCCTTCTATCACTTCAACAGACAGCATGATTCAACTGTTGATCCCACATCTTCATCTCTTCCACCTGAAGGAAACAGCCCTTGAAACAATCTGAAGCAACACCTGGATGGTCTGTCTGTTTTCTGAGTTGTTTCCTTCTGCTGAATGGGGTGTCTTACTCCAGCTCTTTGGGAACTGGCACCTGTGCAGGAAAAGCAATAAGAAATGTGATTGGTGGGGGAAACACACACACACCAACTTTCCTCCTCAGTCTCTTCCAGGTCAGACAAAATGGCATCTGCAGAAAAATCTCTATAAGCTTATATTTGGAAATTCAAAACTAGGAAAACAGTTCCTCAGTTCTTGGCATCATTTGTCATTCCTTAGAATCTTTCTAAGATAATGCATTATTAAGCACACTCTGGATCTATTATTCAGCAGAGGATGGGGCATCTTTCACTAGCCCTATGACAGGAAAATGATATTCTTCCAGCAATCAATATTTTGCTACTGAGAACTTTCCCCACGACCCTCTGCAAGGCAAACAGTTGTGTTTCACAAGCACTTCCATCAGTAGCACAATCACTCATTAGTAGTCACTAATCATGAGTGACACAACAGGTAGGGAACAACCTGTACTGTTTTTGTGGTTTGTTTTTCTTCCTTAGAACATGAAATCTCTCCTGTTGTTCCTGCTCACCCTGCTTCTTGGACATACAGATCTCCAGTCCTGACTCTGTTATGTTTGCATGAATACTATACTTTCCTTGAATACAACAGGCATACTATAAGCCGTGAATGATATTCTTCCCACAACCAGATCCAAAAGTATTCCTTAGGTGATCCATCCATTTCAGCACAACTTACTTCCCATGTAACTTTATTATTACATTTTATTCAGTATCAACAGTGGCCTAATATGTGTAGCAGATGCCGTGTTTAGAGAGAATGGGCCAAGAGATGTGAGGATCTGTTGTTAAAGTGCGACATCTTCATGCATTCAGTTCTGTGTGGTCCTGCACATGCTGGCTGAGAAAGAGTCCCGGGGCAGCCATCTGTGGCCCTTCAGATGCTTTGGCCCACAAGTCACATCACTCCTAACCGGCATCTCCGATGAGGGATCATGGAGGTGGTAGGCCAAAGCTCCTAGGGGGCCAGCTCTTCCTGCCCTCTTGGAGCATGTTGTGAGCCAGGCAGGCTGTGTTTGGAGAACCTCCTGCTCATGCAGTTGCACAAAACCTTGGTCTTTTGCCCTAAATTCCTCCCTAACAGCACCACTGCTGTCCCCCTCTCAGGGGTGCACAGAAGACCCCGGGCTTCATCGGTAACACCTGCCTGCCTTAGGGCAATGCAAGCATTCCTAGAAATAACATGGATTCCTACTGGCTTCCACAATGTGGCAAAAAGAAGGGCCAAACACAACCCATTCCTGTGCTCATGAGCAATGTTTGACGTAGTCTCTGCTCCCTCTTCCAATTTCCTCAGGAAAGAATGCATGGAGTGAGAACGTGGCATAAGAGTTATTTTGCTGAATCAGGCAAATCTAGCCTCAAGAGGTAGCCCGGCAGATTTCAGGGAAAACTCACCTGCAAAGTAATATTCATCCCAAGTCTGTCACTACCCTTTTGCAAGCAAAGGCATATTGTGCCTCCGAGTGAAGGCGGTATTTCTAGCTTTCATGGCAAATGGCTCTCCCCCGCTACCACAACGCCTGCACTGCTCCACGTGCGGGAGTCTGGCTTGTGCTGAGAGCCCTACTCTTATCACTGCTGAGTGTGCGGACGGGACTGGGCGCGAAGCAGGGAGAGGATGAGCTGAAGTACTGGATCTGAACCATCTTCCCATGCCAACTCAACTGGCATTAAAATATCCATAAAGTGACAAGGGAGGCCATGTCATGGTTCAAGGGGCATCTTACGATCCAGCCTTCACCAGCCAGGTACCCTCCAGATCTTCTGCATCACTCGTTGGTTGCAGGTGAGGAGAGCTGCAGTCCAACATGTCTGAAGAGTGCTCTAGTCTGCAATGACGTTCTACTGCTTGGAAGGCCGATTAGTCAACTATTAGTCTGTATTAAAGGCAAGGAAGGCTAGGTGTTATTCCTTGCCTTGCCCAGATTTGTCTCCATAAGAGCTCTGAGCGTCACATTACGGCTGAGTAATTCTCTAATCAAAATGGGAATCGTTGAGCAGACTCCAATTTTTATGCTGCCAATTGTCATTGAGCAGCTCAGGTGTCTTAAGGAGGGAACTGCCAGTGCTGTAATGCATATTGCATGACTTTCAACCTTGGAACATTATATCTGCACTACTGAGGGAAACATAATTAAACAGAACCTCTATGGGTGACCTCAGTGATTAACAGGTGCAGCTCATTGGACTTGGCCCAAGCAAAAACCTCTGAGGCATGCAAAACATCCGAAGGACAGAGAGCTTAGCTTGTGGCATAGCTTCTCCAAAAGGCAGCACCCACCTGCGTAGCTGGCAACTGGGGGCAGGGGGGTGGCCAGGAAGTGGGGCACACCTCCTGCCATGTGCTCAACAGCTGCTACCAGAGACGTCCCACCCAAGGCCCCAAAGAATCTTGTCTAAAAATGATAATAAAATGCTTCTCAAGGGAAGCAGCTAGAGAAGGAACTATTCATACTGATATTAATACTATGCTCCTCAAGTGAAGCACTTGGGGAAGGGAGATTAAACATAAACATAATTAAGGCTGCAAACCTATCGGGCTGACACTCACTAGATGGAAGCCTCTGATGCCCGAGCACCTGAATACCCTGCGCCTCGCTGGGAGTGCTGGCAGGGAGAGGAGCAACGGAGGCAACTTGCACCTGTCCTGCTTTGTATTCTCCCTGCCCCATTGGACAGGCCTTTGCACCCATCCAGAAGAGATATGGCGGAAGGCCTGCAGAAATGGGTCATGCCTGGCTCTTGCCTCCCTCCTCCCCACACACTTTTGACTCTCGCAAAGTCCTCTGAGGCTACTTTTCCACCTGGAAAGCAGGCACCGCGGTTCTTTCCATGCGCCTGCAAGGGAGAAGGACTGGCGCATGCAGCCCCCCGTTCCCAGAGGTCATGGCAGTGGCTCCAGCTGTGGAGCAAAACTGGGGAAGCCCTTTGGTCCCTGGGATGCTCTCCGGGGACCACAGGAGTGCTTGGCCCATTGGAAACCTGGTAATTCTCTTATCTGCTTTGTTGCATGTTAATGCACATTCAGCAGAAGCTCACGTGTGTCCTGCAGTGCAGCTCATGGCACACCTTGTGATCTGATCTACGTCCTGCAATGAGGTATCTCTAATATGTTGAGACTCCCCTTTTGGTTACAGGATCAGAGGAACTGAAATCAGACTCTGCGTTGGGGTTGGACCCATGCAGTGTGGAGAGGCTGCGTGAGACGACCGGGAAGGGCCAGACCCAGAGCTGTGCAGCCATGTGAGTCCTGGCCCCTCCGCATGGACATCTGAAGAGTAACCCCACCCGAAGGGCAGCTGCCCACACTGGGCTTCTCCCCTTTGGACACCTGCCTGACAGGGACAGCGTCTGGTCCAACAGGGGATTCCCTTCATGTGTGTAACGCATGGAAGCGGCTAGTCATTTCTGTTTATATGTGTACATGAAACATTCTAATACTTTCTTTCTGCTACGACTTTACACTGTAAAACACAATAAAACCACAATGATTGCTCAAAGAGAAACCTGCCGGTTGAAGGACTGCGTGCTTCCGCATCAGCATGTCCACAGACCATCTTCCCCAAGCTGGTGCCCTCCACTTGTGTTGGACTACAGCACCTGTACTCTCCAGCTGCCCTGGCGCATGGTCACCCAGTCCAGTCCAGGTGCTGGCCAACTGGCTGTTCCCAGAGGCATGGCCAAAGGAGGAGCGAGCGGCAGCTGAGGAGGCCATGGAAGTCCTGCCTATGGGTTGCTCTCTCCGAAGAAGCTTGCGTAGTTCCTACTGAGTCATCTTCCTGCTTCCGCACAAATACTGTTTCCATTTTTCTGGGCTTAAAAAAGTCTTAACTTGTGCTGTTTTACTGTGGGCTTATTTTTCCTTGTCATAATGTTGTGTTTCATTATGTTATTTCAACTTGGAATTTTGCTTAAAAACCTGTTTGGTTCCTCATGAGAAGCAGAACCTACTCATCATTTTAGTGGAATGAACAGTGCAAATTGCCTTATGCTAAGTCAGACTGGTGTTCGTCTAACCTAAACTCCATCGCTTTACTCCGATTGGTAGCATTTTAGAAGGAACCAGAAAGGCAGCAACAAGGGCTCCCCACTCACGGAATACTCTCTCCACTGAGGTCCCGCTGATACCAGCACTGGTGCCTGGTTCACTTTTTTGAAGGCTTTCTTCTTTGGTACCGTGGTGGATACCTCCTGCATTTCGATCACATTGTCAAGGCAAGCCTTCACATTTGGTAATGCAAAACTGTAAAACAGTTCAACTCTGGAAATCCAGCTACACACACACATATACAATCACACAGAAATACATTTGTGCACATTTATGCAACCCCCTCCCCCAGAAAAACCCAGCAACACACTGACAGCTCTTCAACTGTTGCTTGGGCACCTGGGGGAGTCCTTAGCAGTGTCTCAGACAAGAACAACAAGGGCTTCGCTGGCCCCATGGCCTGGTCTGTTGCCTGGGTTCAGAGGACATGGCAGATCCATTGTGGTCCAACACCCCCCTCGACCGGTCTTGTCAGAAACAGTCCAGGTTTGCATGAAAGGGCAACCAGGCACAGCTAGTTGGCATGATGGGTTGCCATGTCATGTGAACCCCGCCATTGTCTTCAAAACACACAGTAACTGCAACTGCCGAAAATTCTGATCTTGGATAAAAGAATAGCCTATGAGGGGCTTACTGATATGGCAGCGTTTTCCTACTTCCTTCCGTTACCTCATCATTTGTACTTACTGGTTTAAGATACGCTACGTTGCTCTGACGAATATCGTTAAGCAGCTTATCCCTTGGAGTTATTTCCACTAGAGGAGGTGGCCGAATTCTTGGAATAGGTTTTAGTGTTCGGATCACATCTTTGAGATTGGTTTTTTCAGCAGGCTCCACGTATTCTTTCACACTGGGCTTGCGCTGGGTTCTCTTGAGTTTCACTATTTTGAAGGAGGGAGTGTCTTCCCTGCTCTGAGCTTCAGGGTCTGGTTTCCTTGCTGGCTCATTTTTTCTGCTAAGAGATGGCACTCTGGGGACTGGTGGCATTGGAGGTTGTGCTGGAGGAGATATCACTGAGGCAGGCACTGGTCCCCCCAGCAATTCCCACATCCCAGGAGGCAGCCCGAGGCCATTCTCAAGCATCGCTATCAGCTCCTTCTGCTGTTTCAGCTGCTGCTGCCTTTGCTCTTCTATCCTTTTCTGCCTCTGCTTGTCCAGGTTTCTGCTGAGTAGATTGGTAACCACCATTCTGGGCCCTGGAAGTTCAAAGTGGTAGCCGATCTTCAGCAGCGTAGGGTTGGCTTTCAGCAGCCTGGAAATCTCCATTTCTGCCTGGTGGCCCAACATACTCCTCTGGTTGTGAAAACGTAGCTCAGTCAGCTTCTCGTTGTACTGCAGGCACCTCATAATGGCGACAATCCCTTTACCTGAAATAAAATTGGAATCGATATTCAAGGTAGTGATGTTCCTGTTCTCTCGCAGCATGTTGGCCAGGGCAAAAGCCACATTATCATCCGCCCCCACGTTGGCTAAACTGAACGTTTTCACGTGCTTGTTCTTTTTCATGGCATTGACAAAGTCCACCAGCATTTCCTTGGGGATGTTCTCAATGTTGTTCAGGTTGAGTTCGGTTATGCTTGGGTCATTGTTCCGGACTTTTCTCAAGCTGTCCTCCAGATTGGTTTGATTTCCTGAAGGTCTGGCACTTATTTTAATAAAACTGGTATCAAGAGCTAATTTTTGGGGAATATTTAACTTTGATATTTTCTTCTCACTATTTTCTTGTTTTTCAACTGGTTTCATGCTTGGATCCTTAGTCTCAACTTTGCTTCTGCTATCCTCATCACCAGATGATTTCTTTGTTCCCAAATCATCCTGATCTTCTTCCTCCTCTTCTTCCTCCTCTTCCTCCTCCTCCTCTTCCTCCTCCTCCTCCTCTTCCTCTTCTGCTTCCTCCTCCTCCTCCTCCTCCTTTTCCTCCTCCTCCTCTTCATTTTCTTTATAGTCTCTTACATCTCCATTTGTTTTCCCCATCACACTTTTTGTGATTTGATTTTCATTGCTGGTATCAGCAACATTTTCTTCAACCTTTTCTCCAGCGACTCGCTATGGAAAACAGAATGCTAAGAGCTGAAATAATTTTAAACAGTTTTGCCAAATCTGTTAAATTAAATAAGCAAAGCTGAAGAAGCATTTACATTTATTTTCCCACAATATATCAACTGTTTGAAAAAGAAATACTGTTCAATGCTGCTATACAAGACAACTCATATCCCATATCTTATTCAATGGCAACTATTAATGTTGATTATCAAATACAGATGGTAAATTATGTTATTCTACAGCACGCTATTTTACTTTTCACAGCCCCAAAGCTCCATATTAACAAGAAGTGAATTCAGTGAGCTGTATCTGGATTGTACTCATGGGAAAAAGTCATGTTATCCATCATCCAGCCATTATACACTTGCCCTTCAATTGTAAAAAATAAGTTATAATTATTTGTCATTATATGCATGGATTTCAATGGATTTGTTTGTTTGTCTGTTTATTTATTTGGTCTTCAAGGCCTACTTTCCATGGGATAACAAGGACTTCAGATGGAACGAAAAACCTGAGGAGACATAGCTGTAGTTCCACCAAGTAAAGTAAAAGTCAGACAGAATGTATCATATTGCCTGGCAGGCCGATTTCACATAGGACCAGACCAGCCTCCTTTTAGCCCCTCCACAAAAAAGTTTAGTTTATGTGAGCTGTCCTTTCGGTATTACTTAGCAAGCTTCCACTGGGCCTGTTTGCACTGTGGATGGAAGGGGCTATTTAATACTACAGAGAACAGTGTGCAGGACGACGGGGGTCGTAAGAGTGACAGCACAGTGAAATGGGAAAGGAGCTGAGGCAATTAGGGCACACCTGCATTGAAAGGGCCCCTGTTCAATATTTTTAGGGAGACGTTGTCAGTAGTGGGCTAAGTTGACTGAGGTGATTCTCACCCAGCTATGCATAGGTTAGGAGGATATATATGGACATACATCCAGTGCTAGCGTTTAAAACCAGACGATGCATGGAAGAAGTTCTTACTTCTCTGTCTTTCCTTCTGTCTTTAATATGATCGTACAAAATCCATCAACCCCCAGGCCAAGAACAGTTTGCTCTTCAAAATGTAGAGTACCTTTGAAGCCCCAGAGTCAGCATAGTGAGTTTAACAAGGCACTGAAGATCAGGTTGGATGGATAGGTTACCGGTTGCTACCACATAACTGTACTGCCTGTTTTCCCCTTTTATTTTTATTTAAAATAGAAGTATAAATAATGCAAAACAATATTAGTATATGAATTAAATAAATGCATACATATCAAAACCAGAACTTGGAATTCTGTATTATAGCATCGTGAAGTTCATCTTCCTCTGGGGAACGCACACCGTGGGGGACCAGTTTGAGGAAAACGACTGAGCTGCTTGCCTCCCATCATCCTGTTTCTCTGTCACAGACAGCAAAAGCTTTTCAGTTTGGAGCAGACCTTCCAGATGATGACTCTACTGATGACAAGTCTGAGTCACTTATTCACATGTAACGTTATATCTCTCTGATGTCTCTCCATTGAACATATGAACCACCTCCAGCATAAAGTATTATGGTTGGGGTGATATCAGAAGATGTGAAGCTCTGCCCGGATGGCTGTTTCAAACACTCCAGAACATGTCGGAATAGCCAAGGAATGAGCTGTAATGAATTCACTCCGATGGGAGACAGAAATGAAGGAGTCCTTCACCCTGCGCTTTGGTGCTTTCTTCCCCCTTGACTGCTATTTTGTAGGTTCCATGTTAGCATGGTAATACAAAGCATACTAGAACAGAAGCGCACAACTGTGCTTTCCCAGGCCTTTATTCTGCCCCGCTGAAGTGGGCCCTGATCTCCCCATGCCATGCATACAGATTTCTCTTTCCTGCTGCTCCTCGCAGTCCTTAGCATGATCAGTACACAAGTGCGCATGCGCATGCCTATGTGTTGGTGTGGATGTGGTCCCCAGCCACCACCCAGTATCCCAGTATGGTCATAAAGTACTCCCCTGCTTCGAAGCCGTAATGCTTCAAGGACTCAGGGATACATCTCCAAAGATATTTATGTGCCCGGGCCAGCCCTACCCTCAGGCAGAGGCTGAGCGGCAGGCAACGGATGCCATGAAACAGGATTCAGCTGCTGGCTCGCTTGGCTTTTGTACGGGCAAAGGGGTGGGGGTCCAAACTGTTTTCGGCCGGCCCTGTTATCCCCTGTAGTGCTTGACATAGTCCCTTGAATTTTCTAAGCCTCCCATGAATTCAAAAATCATATTAGATGAGATAGAATGAGATGAGGGGTGTGTGTGTGTGTGTGTGTGTGTAACTGTACTGGGTTCTCAAGGTGATATTTTTTCATTTTCCATATTAGTTGCAGGAGATCAGCTGGAGTGATTGTTCTAATTATCGGTCCACTGAAGTGAAGTGAGGCACATCCCTAAAGGTCAGTTTCAAGGAGAATCTTTCCCCCATTTGTCGGCTTCACGCTGCTTCCCAAGAAGGGCTATTTGACTGTATAAAGAGAATACCGTGCTTTGCCTGCAGGTAAGAGGAATAGTCTCACACATGCGTGTTTCATAGTATAACACAGGCATGTGCGTGCATGCACACACCCACCCACACATGTGTAAAATCCATCAAGTTCAATAGAACTTACTTCGAGGCAAGTGTGCATAGCAGTAATTCCTATACTGCAGTTATCTGAATGGGGAGAGCGGGGAGGCAGCCCCCGTGATGCTGGCAGAAGAGCCTCTGCATTCAGTGGGTGCTTAACCCAGAAGCCAACAGGAGAACCGCCCAACCAGAAAATGCGGCATGGCATGACCTGGCAGGGGTGGCTGAGGCTCCCCTGTGAAGACGACACCCACCGTGTGTCACCCAGGAAGCGAGGGCGCGCCAAGGAGAGGAGGCACGCCCCTTGCATCAGTGTGCCTTAAGAGAAGACGCTGCAGCCCCCGTGCGCCACCAGCCTCCGTGGCCCAGCCTGCAGGGAGCCCTGGCACTACCGTCACCAGGGCCCCCACCCCACCCCACCCCAGGGAGGGGCACAGGCCCCCAGTGCCGCTCGCGATCGCTCTTTTGGCGTGCGAGGCGGAAGGGACAACGGGGAACTCACTCAGTGCAACACTCACAGAGCTCAGTGCCTGCAGGGACCAGATGCCCCCCTTCTGGAGCAGGGGCTCAAGACCCACGTGGGGAAAGAAATATCTGCCCAGCAGCCAAGGCAGGAGGGAGGGACGCAGAACAAGGGCGGACGAGAACACACGCGGACAGCGACCCTCCAGGGCCCCGTGTGTGTCAGAGGGTTTGGAAGCAGGGGGTGGAAGTTCCAGCCTTGTGGGGGGAATAAGGCAACCGCTTGGGGCTCGCATGCCTGGAAAAATAACCATCACTTCTGAGGTCAAAGAGAGGGAGCTCCCAGCACTCAACACCACACTGCAAACCACATGCGACCGTTGCCCGACCTCAGCAGTGGACACATAATAGGGCACCTGTCCAAAGATCCAGTCAGGAATACTGGGCACACAGGAACTACAGAAGGAGCTTGAGCCAGGAAGGGCAGCATATGGTTTACCTGAGGCGGGGGGCAGCTTTGCACTCTGGATGCAACCCACACGAGGAAATGGATGCATCCTCCAACATGCCTGGGCATGGCCACCGGTCCCTTTGGTCACATCTTCCTGGCCCTCACCTGACCATCCCTGCCAGGTTGCATCCCAGCAGGATGCTCTGCGCCACTTTCTTCACCCGCAACCGACTGCCTGATGTGCCCTGGCAGTAGCACCCATCCTGCTTGGGCAGACTGAGGCCAGCAGCTTCCACCCTCACCCAGAGTCTAGTATCTATCTGTCTGTCTGTCTGTCTGTCTGTCTGTCTGTCTGTCTGTCTGTCTGTCTATCTATCTATCTATCTATCTATCTATCTATCTATCTAGCTATCTATCTAGCTATCTATCTATCTATATTTATAGGCCGCCTATAATTGCCAAGGCCTTCCTAGTGGCTTATAAAAGTAAGCGGCGAATGGAAGAGCCACTGCCTCTGGGTAGGGCTTGGCATCAACAGAGGCATGACTGGACACCTGCCACAGGCCCACATCCCAGGGGGAGCCCATGAACAGGAGACCCCAGGCCTGCTCCTCCTCTTCATCATGGCCCTGTGGTTGTTCAGCTGCCTCTTGCTCTGGCCCAGCCATGGTGAGAAGGGTCCTCCAAAACCGGGATCCAGAATGCGCTGAGCGCCTCGAGCTCTCCTCACAGCCTCCTCACAGTCCCATTCTTGACTAGCAGAAAGCAGGCCGTACTGGGGGTGGGGTGCGTGTGTGCGTGCAAGAGCCCTCTCTTTCACTGCAAACCAAAAACTGCACACTCATCGCCTTTATTGATCCTTAATGGAGGAACGCCAAGCATCAGCAGATGGATGCTGAGTGTCAGCTGGAAAAGGCAAAAAGAAAAGCTGGGATGGGGGAAGGTGGACTATTCTAGAAGCTGACGTGGCTGGCTGGAGCTCTCACAGGGGCTCTCATACTGCAGTATTTTGTTGCAGTAGCTCCCATCCTTTTGAAGCAGAATTTGATCCATTTCTTTAGATTTATATTTTATTTATTTATTTAAAAGCTTTTGTATGCCATCCTATTATACAAGATCTCAGGACGGCTTACAACTGGTGATCACACTGATTATTGAGTGTAATTAGAACAACTGCGAGAGCTTTAGGTGTCACCATCTCTCAGGGCAATGACTACTGTCCTGTGCTAAGAAGTGACAAAAAAAAATTGAAATACAGTACTCTAGAATTCTGTTTCAGTGCTGAGCATTAGTGGCAAACTGTGGCATTCAATTCTGGTAGCATTACTAGAAGACTATCAGACATTTCATTCAGGCCAAAAACCTACACAGGCGCAAAACGGGACAAGAGAGGGCTCCTGCGTCTTTGAACAGAGGATCAGCAAAAGGCGATCAGCAAGTGCACCTTGCTTTATCCACCACGCATGCTGAAAATCACTCTTCCACATAGCTATTAAAGTTGCAGGGTCTTGGCTTCTTTTGTATCACTTTAGACTCTTGCCCAAATGCCGGGCAAGGCTTTTACTGTGCAACCACTTGTCTCACCCAAAGAATTTTATTGTGGGGGGAGGGTCCAAGTGATGAAGTGTTCCATTTGTTTCCCTCTTATATTTTCCAATAGTTTCTTCCATCTATCTATCTATCTATCTATCTATCTATCTATCTATCTATCTATCACAGAAAAGGACAAAATAGCCGCACAAGCCTTCTGGTGCCTAGGAAATGTCCATCTGGAAACACCCACAGTGTCATTGCTCTGCCTTGTGTTCCACCCACAACTAGTCCTTTCATTCACCTTCTCTGCATTCCGCCTGTGGGATAAAAATAGATTGTCGTTCCAGATAGATAACTGAGGACTAACATGGGGAGGCATTGTGCAACTATTCTATCTTTTCTTTCTTCACTGTTTTTTTCCCTGCTAAGTAAAACAGTTTGAAGACACAGTGGGAAAACACAGGAGGGCTGCAAATGGAATTTGGACACCCGCCCCCGGCCCTGGTAGCATTATTTGAACGAGGCAATGCAATTGGACAACGCAGGCCTCATCCAGAAGCACCCAGGTCTGGATTGATCCCGCTGCCCTGGCCGGGTTTGCGTGATGCAGCGACCCATTGTGGGTAACTAACCCAAGAGCCCGGACTGTGTCCCTCAGAGCGGCCTGTCTGTAGGGAACAAGCCACCCTGACAGCTCACGGCTGGTTGCAGACGTCGCTGGACCCAAAATGAGTTGCCATGCCATCCAGATCCAGGAGACCCATCGCACTGCGGGGCCGAAGGAGCCACTTGGCCACTGCGTTTGCCAAGCTCGCCTGCGCCATCGCCAGTGGCAGCTGCTCCACTGGTGCCCAGGCGGCCTCTTGCAGCGGCCCTGGCTGGCTCACCCCCCCACTCCACTCGCGACCGCTGCTGTGTCTACTCCCAGCCTCCTGCTTTTCCTTCCAGGGCTGTTTGGCAGTATCTTCAGCGACACCCGGCGGCAGCGCTTCCGAAGCGCCCAAGGGGGACACCAGAGCTGCCATCAGTGCTTTGCCACAGGCTCCTGGCAGCACGCAAAAGCTGTCAAGACAGCCGCACAAGGCCCCTGCCCAAGCAAAAACACCCGTCAACAGAAAGGGCTTGCAAGCCGAGGGGTCTGCGTGTGCTTCTGGGGATCATAAGAGGTTGAGGAAAGTTGGAGGAGGGTTGAGAGCAGCCAGTGAAGTACAAAAAAGCTAGAAGGGGATGCAGCCAGCACCCCCTTTTGCAAGCATATGTCCCCTAATGGCTTTCCTTTTCCCTTGAGAGCAACTCTGGACAGCAGTCAAGTGAAAAGTTACCTGAAGGAGCGCTTACATCCATATATGCCCAGTCGCCCCCTGAGATCGGCGGGAGAGGCCCTTCTCCGGGAGCCCTCCGTGAGAGAAATTAGGAGGGTGGCTACTCAGAGGAGGGCTTTCTCAGCGGTGGCACCTAAGTTATGGAACGCGCTCCCCAGAGAGGTCCGCCTGGCGCCGTCGTTATTTGTTTTTCGGCGCCAGGCAAAGACCTTTTTATTTAAGCAACATTTTAAATGTTAATACTACTGAATTTTATCTGGCCAGGGCGGCTTATTTTATATTGTGTGTATATTGTATTTTAAATTATTATTACTATTCTAATATGTATATTTTAATTTATGTGGTTTTATTTATTGTTGTGAGCCGCCCCGAGGCTTCGGCGAATGGGGCGGCATAAAAATGTTTTAATAAATAAATAATAAATAAATAAAAAGCCACAACAAAATCTACCTATTTGCAACGTCTACAGATGTTGCCTCCTGCAGTTTGACAAGAGATTCTCACAAGGACAGGGAAGAGGCAAGGCTAGGCATCTTGCCCCATTGGAGGTGTGCCCTTGCCTCACTCTGAAATACTAATCCCCAAGACCTAAAAAGTAAAAGCTAGAAAAATATTTTTGCACATTTCTTTAAAAAAAAGTAAGAATTTTAAAAAGACGTTGAACCAGTGATGGCTGCTGCAATGTGCCGCTTGTTCACTGTGGAGGGGCTGCCCCTGTCCGTGGAAGGCGCCCCAAAAAGGCTCTGAAAGAAAAGGGGGGAAGGGGAAAACTGGCAGCATTGACACGGGTCAGCATGTAAGCGGGGAGAGGAGGCCAGAGGGGTCCCGCCACCCTTGGTGGGAGAAGGAGGGGAAGGAGAGGGGGACAATCCACAGTGAGCCCCATCGTCTATTGGTTGCATTGTGGGTTGTTCCCTGAATTGTGTCGCTTATTTGCAGGGTGGGAGGTCATGTTATGTGAAGGCGACCGTTCCCTCTGGGCAATACGAGGCAGGCGTCTCATGGTTTAGAAAGGAGTCATATTTGTTTGCTGGCTTATTTCCTATATTTTTGCCCACCTTTTGAGCAACCGTTTCCCAAACATCTCAGGTAACTAAAAAAGAAAGAGGGGCCCTGCTATCTGGCCTTCAGCCACTGAGACACACAACGAAATGTGGGTGGAGGAACAAGGCAAAAGGGCTGGAACAAGGGGGTGAGCGCTGCAGAGGCATTTAAAGGTGCCGGCCTGATTTTCTCTTGCTGGCATTCTTGCTCGAAGAACAAGCATCTCAGCAGATTCTCCAATCCCATTATGCTTTATTTCAGCAATTTGCAGCTGACTCCACCCCAGTCCCAAATGGTTGTTCATGTATGAGAGCAGATTCCTGTAGCTAAGCTGCTACACAATTTTTTCTTAAGTGAACTGGACTCACGAGGTACCACCAGCCACATTTCTAAAGTGTTTGGTGTGTTTGTGGATACAGCAAATGCGGAGCTGCGCCACATGGGAAGTATGTCCTGAACACAGTGCCTGAATACCTTTGGAACGCTTTTCGCTGTGTGTCCGAGACTGCAAGGAGCGCTTCCTCACGGGGCCCATCCTACAACTAGTCCCATTTCCCCACAGTTCCACGGTAAGTTCTCCCATACCAGTCTTCTGACTATGACAATCACCTCTCTCCTTCGCCGTATGCGCTTTCTCCCCAGAATGATTCAAGAAATGCATATTGTCAGACAAAAATTCTAAACACCGTCTTGTCTTTTTCCTTTCAGGACGTTGTAGCAGAGCAACACGGTGCACAGTTCTCGTATATCTAATGGGGCACATTAGCGAAGGAAAGAGAGGACTCCCCTGCCTCGTGTCCCCCTCTACCTCTGCTTTTCGTCTTGTTTTGTCCTCTTCCCCCTTTCCCTTGGTCGGACTGCTACCCAGTCCTCCACCAATCTTATTCCTCCAAAGATGCTTTACTCTTTCTTTTCCACCCACAATGTGACTCAGTTCTCAGGGCCTCGGTCCTCATCCTGTCCTGTCCGTTTGAGCCTTCTGCAAAGAGACCGCATCACCTCTGGCGGGGAAATTCCTGCCAGGTGCCTTTTTCTAGAGGAGGGCACTGCTAGGTGGTAGTGGCAAAGCTAGCAGCCCTGCTCTAAACATGGGACAGGCCTGTGTATGTTCTTCGCCCTGTTTCCATTGCTTGCTGCAGGTACAGGGCTTTGTCCTCCTTGTGCAGTGTACCTGGATGGCACAGGAGAAGGGAAAGCAAAGATACAGCTGCGTGTGTGATTCTTACAGTGCTATTTTTTGCATTTAATTGGCTCCCAGGAGTAATGCAAGAGCATCATCTCAGCTCCATCTCAGCTGTGAGGTTCTGTGCTAGTTCAGTACTGGGTCATAAGAGCACAATTTTAAAAAAATATCATCAGCCACATCTTGCTGGAATCTAGCAATCTAATAGTACCTTATACTAACCTGCACCACCCTTTAAGATCTGGGGCAGAGGTATATTCCAGGTGCCACCAATTGGTCAGATAAATATAGTTAGACTATGGAAAAGAAACATTTTGGTGGGCCAGTTTGTTACGGAAGACTTATCTTAGCCTGTGTCCCTCTACATTTATAAAAGTTTGCGAAGAAACTCTTCCATAGAAGATTTATATTTTAATTAATAATTATGGGGATTTTACTTTTAAGTATGATATATTTCTCTTTATGTCGATGTTTTGGAGTTTAAAAAAGAATACAAATGTTTTTATAGTAATAGTGTTTTAATTTCTTAACAGATAACTGAATCTAGACAAGAAAGCAGGATAAACACTATGGAAAGTAAAGTACAATGAATTCTATGAACACCAATAGAACTCCTTTGGAATAACCAGGCTGAGACTGTAAACCTCATCCATAAATACATCTTCAAAACAATATGGCAGATTTGTAACTTTTGTGGTTTTTCTTTCAGCACATGCAAGAAACTGACTACACATGTCTAGCTGGAAGTAAGCCACATTGATTTCAATGGAACTTATTTCTAAGTAATCCTAAATACAATTACAGCCTTAGTAGATGTCAAGGGAATATAATGTTAACATATGAAGCAGCGTTTCCTGATTCTTACCTCCGATGGCAAGAGAGTGACTGGAACTCTCTCATCCTCATGCATACGTCGGGATGCCTTCTGCCAATACAGGTAGTCAACAAGGGATCTGTGGTCAAAGTTTCCTGTTGGGGGTTTCTCAGTCTGATCTTTCTGTATCATTCCAACGGGCACTTGGGGGTCTGGAGCCATGACCTCCATTTCACTCTGTAGTTCCCGCAGCTCTTCAGGGGACAGGTTTGCCAAGATTTCATCTTCATCCATCTCCTCAAAACAAGTTTCCTCTTGGTCAGACATGTTCTTTATCAATTAACACGCAGAAGCACTTAAAAGAAAATGAAAAGCAACCAGAATGAGGAACGAGATGCTATTTCTTCTTCAGCTTTAGGAGATCCTGAGTGTTGCTACGTGGCTTTTGCTGGAAATTGTGGGAGAACCTGCTCTTAGAAGATGCTGGGGCCAGAGTGAGTGGGGACTGAAGCATCTGGTAAATCTATATTAAGCAGTGCTTGGCTGGAAGGAGAGAATTTTTGGAGGTGCTGCCATATTCTGTTTTGAGCAGCTTGTGTCAGCTGTGTAAGCCCTTCTGACATTTCAGTACAGCTGGGGTGTAGTGCTGCAGCATCTTCATGGTGAATTTCAAGAGGATTCCCCTAAGGACGTAAGTTTTAATGGTCTGTTATAGTTAAAAAAATACATTTAGGTAAATGAATGCCATATCCTGTTGCATGTTCATGATTGAATTCCACCCTTCTTATGCCCAGCAAAGACTCAGGCATTGCGCTGGCAACTTGAATCACATGCTTTTCCACTCTGCACTTGCATCTTCTACCCGTCTTTGAGAAATGATTAATTTATGAGTGCTTGCGTAAATTTATTTATTTGTTATGTGTCTATGCGGTCCAGTAGTCAAAGCCTGGCAAATATCAGTCTATTGACAAGTATCATTATACTGTCAGCAGAATGAAGAAATGTCTGTTGGGCAAGTGGTGTGGAGAGTCACTGATACGTTTTGTTAACAAGCCAAAGTACCAAGGAAACAGCAGAAACATTATCTAACAACCAGTAAAGTAGCTGTTCTCTTAAGACCAAACTGTTACTGGCAAAGGACACAGCACATAGTATTAGAATGGCTAACACGGCCCTGAAAACGTGTTGTCCGGACTTGAGAACAAAACTGAATTGCCCTTGCCTGTTATTCTAGAAATTGGCAGCCTTCAACCGGAGGCCTTCTAGTTGGGACGACAGGTGTCACTGGGGAAAGCTGTGCTGGGCAAATTTACTCTCACCAGCTGTGAGTAAATGCATGATATCCACTCACTGTTGCAGAATGGATTTTTGCTTTAAAAGAGACATGCCTGATGATGATGTTTAATTGCAATGTATGGAACAAAGAAGGGACCTGCGTCCAGGTGGAAGTGCCAGCTCCACCAGCACCCAATTCCCTCATCTACTGCATGAATGCCTGTATGACATTGTTGTTGTTGTTGTCGTCGTCATTGTTGCCATTCTGATTGCTAAAGGAAGTTGCAACTTTGGAAAGACCTGAGCAGAGGAACGTCAGTTTTCCTTCCACCAGGCTTGTCAGGACTAAGAGAGAAGAGAAAAAGGGTTGCGAACAGCAAGGTCACGTCCTGTAGGGCTGGTTTTGGTCCTGGTCACCCAGCTTTTTTGCATGGCCATCGCTGTTACCCTAACTGAAATAAAGCTTAAACATGTGCATCTGCATTTAGTAATTCCCCCTCTCCCTATACACGAACATGCACCCCATACTGTTATCTTTCTACATCTCCTCATCCTCCATATTGTAAGTGCTTTGGGGAAGGATCTTGTCTTGGAAAAAAAAGGAACGAAATGCTTTGTATATTAAGGGTGCTGTAAAAATAATATTATTTATTTATTTATTTATTTATTTATTTAAACAACTTATATGCCACCCCCTTCGCATGAGCCTCGGGACGGCTTCCAATATGTGTGCACTCCGATATTTAACAATATTTATGAATTACATATTAAATATTTTTGATGTACAAAGCAGAGGTCAAGATTGACTTCCCTGGGAATGCCCATTGCAAACTGTTTTTCAGTAGGTTTTGGAAACCTAGAAGGGCTGGCATCTTCCTAATTTGTGGTGGCAGCAAGTTCCAGAGAAGCCCAGGACCAGCCATGACAAAGTGAAACTCTGAAATCTTGGGTATCACTAGGAAGGTATCACCCAAGGAGTGCAGCAGCCAAGGAAACCATTTCTTATGTAGCCTGATCCTGAATTGATCAGGGTTTTGTGAACAAGAACCAAACATTTAAATTCAGGCCAGCAACATATAGACAGCAAGTGCAGTTCCCTAAGCATATAGGATGCTGGAAATAAGCTACCATATAAGACGCACCTGACCATAAGATGTACCTAGTTTTTAGAGGAGGGATCCATGGAAAGCTTCCTGATAATCACAGGCACATTCCCCATCACTTCCCCACGGGCTTCATGAAAAGACGGGTTGCCATTTGAAAACACACACTGACCTGTGATTAACAGCTCTCACCTGCGCCGGGGGGGGGGGGGGGGGGGGGGGGGGCGCAGAGCAGGGCACGCTGAGCGCGTGCCGGCCAGGTGGTGCCATGTGGGTCCAGCAGCGTGCCGGCGGTGGTCTTCCGGGCGGCGTGGCAGCAGCGGCAGGTCTTCCCGGGCGGTGGGGGTGAGCAGTCCGTCTCTCCGTGTGGCTGGCAGGTTAAAGCCTACGGCTCCTCCTCCTCCGCACGCCTCCCCCTGAGCAGCACAGCTCTCACCTGTGCTGGGGTGGGTGGAGCAGGGCACGCCGAGCGCGTGCCAGCCAGATGGTGCCACGTGGTCTCTCCGTCTCTCCGTGCAGTCTGTCTCTCCGTGCGGCAGGCAGGTTAAAGCCCATGGCTCCTTCTCCTCCGCACCGCTCCCCAAGCCGCACAGCTCTCACCTGCACCGGGGGGGGGGGTGGAGCAGTGCGCGTGCCGGCCAGGTGGTGCCATGTGGTGCAGGCGGCCAGCAGCATCCCGGGCGTCGGGCACACACACATTTGCTCTATAAGACGCACAGACATTTCCCCTTACTTTTGAGGGGGGAAAAGTGCGTCTTATAGAGCGAAAAATACGGTACTTCTGAGACCTTCTGAGACCATTTGGAACCAAATGCAGTTTCCACAAACCCACTTAAAGAATTCTGTAGTAATTCAGTTCAAGTAGCTTTGAGGTTGAATGTTTGTTTTCTATCTAGCTATCTGTTTATTTTAGTTACAGCATACCGCTTTTCCTGCAAGAAACCCAAAGCAGTTTGCAGAGGCCTCCTCCTCCACCAGTGCATTAACACAACAACCTTGTGAGGTAGCTTAGGCTGAGAGTCAGTGACTGGCCCAACATCATCCAGTGAGCTTCCTGGCTCTGTCTGGATGAGAACCTGGATCTCCAGAGTCCCTGTGTAGCACTCCAAGCACAACACTTTGCCAGTTCTCAGATTATGAGAACAAAGTATAATTTGTCTTGCAATCATTCTGATTCCATGAGAATTATACAGGGTGGCCTATAATGTGACTTAACCCCAGCTTTGATCCTCAGATTCATTTGTAATAGGACAAAACTACAGGTGATCTGTATCCATCATTTCATAGCTGCCTCTTATGCTTGCTGCCAGTGAAGGCCAGGAGCAGGGGAAGAACTAGCAAGTACAAGAAAACACGTTTACAAACAAAACAGAACAACTAAAAAGCTTGGGAAAATAGAAAGTTATCAACTGGTGCCAACCCCCCTCCCACCCCCCGCACACACATTCTATAGGCATCAGGTGAGTCTCTTTGGGATGGGTACTTGACAACCAGGTGCTACCACCAAAAAGGCCCTCTCCTTAGTAGTATTGGAGTCACCCTAATAAAAGTTATAAATTTTATACTTTGGAATATGGAAAGCTTTGTCTGTCTCTCCCCCTCTCCCCCACCCCCCAGTCTTCAGGGTTTTTTCCCCATTCAGATTCCTTTTACAGAAAAAGGAGAGGAGCCCCAAGATATGCGGATGATTCACCCTGCCCACTGGCTAATCACTCTCAAATGCAGAGCACAGCTGGCAGGGGATAGTTTGAATGTTCAAATACTGGGCCAGCTCTTCCCTACCTCAGACTATAAAAAGCAAACACTGAAACCTATTAAATCCTGTAACTTCTGATTGTTTTGTTTTTATCTGTCACTCAAGAGCTCAGTGTGTCAGCAGATGTTTTTCCAGTGTTTCCCTGATGAATTTTCAGTTTGTGTTATCCTTGAGCACTTCTATATTGTTCTTGCATATCACCCATTCAAAGTCTCATTACCCAAGGACACCAGCTCCATAAAACATTCTGTGTATGTTCTGTTCTTCATAGTCAGTATTAAACTGGCTACCCCTCCGAGCTGTTGTAATTCTGTTCACGGTAACTAAACTGTTAGACGCTTGACTGTACACTCCCTTTTGGATTCGGAGATTCATTCTTTGCAGGTCTGAAATCTTAAATAAGTTTTATTTGAAATTATAATCCTAAAAAACAAAAAGAAAACTACAAACAACATCCATCATCAAAATCATCGAGCCCGCTGGGTCAGCCCCCACACCCTTCTTTTTCCATTTATGATAACTTAAAAACATATTTAAATCTATCCGAAGTCCTGTTTCTTCTAGCCAATAATAAAAAGAGTCCCAAGTTTGATAGAAGTCAGTATCTTCCTTCTCCTTCAATGATAAAGTCAATCTATCCATTTCTGCACAGTCCAGGATCTTTTTTAGAATCAGTTCATCGGTGGATAGTTCTTCACTTTTCCAGTGCTGAGCGAATGCAATCCTCGCCTCAGTGATCACATGTAAAATCAAATACATTTCTTGTTTACTAATGTCCTCCGGTATAATGCCTAATAAAAAAAACTGCAGGTTTAAAAGCTAAGGATTTTTGTAGCATTTCCTCGAGCCATTTATTTGTTTTAATACAATACTTTTCACATTATCGCAGGTCCACCACATATGATAAAAAGTACCCAATTTATTTTTACATTTCCAACATCCATTTGACATATTTGGAAACATCTTACCTAATTTATTTGGTGACAGATACCATCCATAAAACATTTTATACAAGTTTTCTTTATACGAAGTTGCTAATGTTACCCTGATATTTCTCTCCCACAGCTTATGCCACTTTTCTAATTCAATATTATATCCAAAATTTTGTGACCACGTTATCATAGTTTCCTTAACCTGTTCTTCTTCCATTTTCCTATCAAGTATGAAGTCATATAATCTTTTAATCATTTTCTCATCTGATTTAAGCATCACTTGATCAAACACTGTTAAGTCCTTATAAAAACCCCACGCTTTACAGTCTTTAGCATATCTCGATTGTATCTGCACCTTATGCCACCAAGAGATATTAGATCCCTGTTCTTGTGTTTCTTGATTCAATTTCAGGCCTCCATCCTTATGCAAGCTATCATCATATCTTATGA